GTGTGTGTGTGTGCAGTAAAGCCTAAACACCACTTCCAGGCTCACTGGCAGGCTGAAGTGAATAAGATGGATGGTGTTGATTCATACTACGAATTCATTGTTGCTCCTGAATCCATAGAGAATAAATAAATCCACAGAAATTATGAAGCAAGGGACCAAAATGAGCATCTCACATTTCATATTCCTCCTTCACTCTTTCCTCCCTGTGTGTGTGTCTCTCTCTGTCTCTCTCCGGCCTTCTCTCCCTTTGTTTCTCTCTGGTGAGCGGGGGACAGCTGCTGGCTACATGAAAACCATTCATCACTGCATCTTTATCATAAAATTATTGACAGACAGGAGGACGAGGGGCAATATCGGCTGCATTTTACGAGGTTGAACAAAGCAAAGAGTCACCCATCTGCGGAAACATGAGAACTTGAATCAAGTCACAACAAAAGGCAAACGCGGTTTTGAGAAAGTGACGTAAAGAAGAGCAGCGAAAATGAGACATATCTGCTGCAAGAGACAAAGAACAGTCAAATAAAGTGATCAAAGAGTGTCTATCATTTGCCCATGAACGTTCCACTGCGAAACCCCACCTCTCTCCTCTTCCTCTCTCTCTCTACACATCGCCATCTCCATCTGTTAGCCCGATGCACTCGTCCGTCCACTACCTCCCCCCCTTCCTCGAGTTCTCTCCTCCTCTGCTCCTCTCTGGCCTTCCTTACCCTCAGGGAAGTAAGGTGATCTCCCCGTGCTGGTGTAAGTGACTGGTATTAGTCTCCTTCTCTGTCTGTCTGTTTGATCCCGGCACTAATGACTCCACTGGGACTGGGGTCTGATAATGGGAAATCAATATAGAGGATAGCGCTCTGGAGTGGCCTCACTTAGCTCTCGTTCTTTCACGCCTCACAGCAAAGTGCCTCTGTGTATCGGAGGAGGGGTGGTGTGTGTGTGTAGGAAATCTGTGCGTGTGGAGGAAATCTATGTGTGTGTGTGTGTGTGTGTGTGTGTGTGTGTGTGTGTGTGTGTGTGTGTGCGTGTGTGTGTGTGTGTGCGTGTGCGTGCGTGTAGGGAGCTGCATTTAAATACAGGCCTTTTGCTGGGAGCATGTAAGCGTGCTAAGGAAAACTTTTTATTTCCATGTTTTCAAATCAAACAAAGGATTACTTGCACTAAATTATTCTTCCACTTGTTTTCTTTTTTTTTTACTTAAGTACATTAAATTAAAGTACATAAAGTTAATGGAGAGTTGACATTTTCTGGGGGTCATCCTGCGCTAATATACATATGTGGCTGCGTATATTCAAGTGTGTGTGTCTAATCGGGGCCTGGGGCAGGACAGGTGGGGCTGGTGGCATGAGGCTGGTGCCCCCCCTCCACCCTGAGGGGCCAGAAGGCCCAGCGAAGCAGGGGGCTGGAGTGGGTGCCTTTGCCAGGCAGCAGAGCACTGTGGCTGGTGGCAGCTGGTCCTCTGTCCCTCCCTCCCCTCCTCCCCTGCATTAGCACCCCGCAGGCAGGCAACAGGAGGGGTGAGGAGGTCAAGAGGCAGGAGAGGACGGGTGGAACGGCGGCGACATGCACGATAATCGGCTTTTATGAAGCGGAGAGGACACAGACGGGAATACACAGCTCTGACACAATGCGACTGACTACAAGCAGTAATGAATTAACACATTAGCGCCACAACCAGGGGCAGTGAGGAGCACTCAGCTGCTCTTAAACACAAACCCACACTGGCACACACTCTGACACACACACACACAAATGCACGCACACATTAATCAGTCATAAGTCATTAAAGCAATAAAGCACACTCTCTTATTATTTACATCAGTCATTTTGTCGACGGCAGATCACACTGAAAGGCGTCTAAAAACTTTTACTTAGCACTCAGACTAGAAATGACAGGGGTTAAGTCTCCAAAGTGCATCCACGCACACACACATAAAGACGAGGCAGTGCTCTGGGAAACCTCCTCTACAAACTCAAGCCATGTGCTCAATTATCATCAGCCCCAAATGATCCCCCCATTAATGCTTTAACTCTTTCTCTCACATCTCAATCTTAGCCATCCATCCTGGTCTTTTTTTTTGCTCTCTGCTCTCCGTCCATCCCTGTAATTCACGTCGGTGCGGTTACATACTTCCCTTTCTCACTGTCTTCCTCTCCGCCCTCCTCCTCTCGCTCCCTCCCTGACTTTTAACCAGCGTGAAGAGGCAGCCATGCATTCAACCATCAGACAGGCTAACATGGTCTATCCCTCACGCACACACAGAGTCAGAGCGTCTTCTTCCTCAAGTGTAACAAGAATGCAATGTTCGCTGAAACAATAGGGCATCTTTATGTGGTTAAAAGTGCATCCTGATACTTGCAAACAAAAAGCTTACATGAGTGATTTGGGTACAAGATCATACTCAAAGTTGCCTTCCTGTTTGCAGTTTGCTCGCACATGTAGATTTCCAATAATACACTATTCTAAGTAAAGTGACACTTTGAAAATCAGCTTCTACATAATTTAAAAAGCCAAATTTCTGTTGTCATCTTTAACATGATATTTGATTTCTCCTGTTTGCAAGGACAGAGTTAATTGTTGCTCTTTAAATTCCTTTAATAGTTATGAAGCCATGCATCTGACATTCACAGTGACATTTGGTGTATCTGCTTTTTAAGTGTCTCGCAGTTTAACTTGTGTCCACACAGAGCGGTGGTCCGGTGACAGCCCCGGGATGATGATGGTCTCGACCTAGTCCCTGATGGGGGATCCCATTCCTCCTCTTCTCATCCAACAATCCCACTGAGCATGTCAATATGAAACACTATCCCCCCACATGGGGGCCATGCTCTGCTATCCCTCCCATTATAGACAAGACAGGCTCATATTGATAGGACGAGGCTGTATCTAAACAATGGCGTGGTATGGAGATGAGTGTAAATTAGACTAAATCAAGTCTCCCAGCAGTAAAACACATTTTCACTTATATTGCTCTCAATGTGAGCGTGATTTACACGACTGCTGGTGTGTGTGGGAAAGCAGTAAAGCTCTGTTTGGCCAACTTAAAAAAAAAACTATCCACAGCCTTGTAAATGTTGTCAGATGGCCGATGCCAGTGTCTTTCAGCTTAATACTACCTATATTAAATAGTTTAAATATTTCATAAGGGCGGTTTTTAGAGCGAGGGAGGGGAAATCGTTAGCTGCGGTAAAGTTTCATTAACTGGTCCCCATTTCGCTGCGAGGCAAACTCATCTCCTCTTATTGTAATAAAACAATCTCTCTCTCTCTCTCCCTCTCTCTCTCTGGGTGCTGCTCTCCACTCACCTCCCTCTCTCTGCCGCCTCTCTCCTTCTCTTTTACATCATAATAATACACTACATCCCCTTTAAATGCACTATTACTTACCGCTGCCTTTTCATATTGTAACATCACGGGCACTTTAGCGACAATATAAAAGCGTGTCATTCATTATTCAGAGGCAGCCGGCCTCGTCCCCCTTTTAAAAAGTCAGGCGCGCTGCTGAAATTGATAACGGCGCAGAGACGCGCAATAAAAACGCAGCCCCCGGGTACCGAGCTGCAGCCCAGACCCCCCGATTATGCAGATCAAGTGGTAATTTCTCAAACAAATCGCACTCTTTCACTCTTTTGTTGTCGTTTCTTTTTTAGACTTTTGGAATCGGGGTGTCAGCTTTTATTGCCTGTGGGAGGAAAAAAACGAGGATTGATGTCAAAGTTAATTACTGGTGCGCACTGTGTGTGTGAGGCTTTCCAGAAACCTTATCCAAATATTTTGACCCAAACGAGATAACCCCCCCAAGGCCGCTTCTCTAAGGGTCTGCTTGTGTGTGTTTTTCTTTTAAGTAGACTCTTGGCATCAGTTACTTTTGACCGTTTCTGATGTGATCGTGGAGCAATGAAAAGGTCCGACATCGACTTTTACGCGCACACACACCATCAATAAATTCATAAGGGCCAGAGCCTTTCCCGGTGCGTTTTGGATAACCCGGTGTCATGGTGGTGTCCCGCTAGGTCAGAGCTAATGTGTCATAATCATTGGATTACACAGGATTACTAACACCCAACATCTGCAACCAGTGGGACCCCGTCTGCTCCGCACTGCGGGCTGCAGGGACTCCGGAGAGGAGTCCGGATAAAGACAAGAATTATTAATTTCCATGAGGCGATTATTTGTGGTCAAGCTATGCGTCATCCTCAACTAGCATCAATGTAATTGTTTATAAATCAAAAAATATTAATTTTATTTATGAGTTTGTTTGTTCGCTGTAATTAAAGTAGGAGAATTATTGTATCTGCTTTTTTTTTTTCTTTCTGCAAATGGCACCAAGAGAAACATAAAAATGTCCAGAGAGGTGACAGCTATAACAGACCAATTCTCCCCCATCAAAAGCCACCGGTGCGCTCACATATGGCGGAGGGAGGCGGCCAACACTCAGTCTGTCCATATTGCCAAACAAACACCTCGGGCCTTGTCCCATCTCATATTGCTTCATAAGACTTTATTGTGAAGGGCGAGATGCAGATCCCTTTTAATATATATACATATATATATATGACCTTCCACAACATCCGTACATCTCTGCTGGATTTTGTAACATATATAAGGATAAAAGTTACTATTTAACCACTTTATTTCATTTATTTTTTTGTAAGATTTTCAGTGCATTTTACCACTATCAGATTTAATTTGCTGACTTTTTCTCTTAAATAATGGATTGTGATTATAAAAATACTGAGGACTTAAGATAAATGCCTGCACACAAATTTGACAATTGCACACAAACTTTAATTATTTACAAGCTGCAGATATTAAATTACAGGTCTACAGAAAGATGATGAATGCACAAGTTGAGCATTTTCTACATTTTAAAAAGCCTCTAAATATCAACCCAACTGTCACCAAATGAATATGTTGGGGGGTTAGTTTGTTAACGGGGCTGTAATGTGATCGTCTAAAAAGCCACCTGCCGCATCCAAACCCGACACGCATTTGTCTGTCCCAGAGACAAGTTGGTGGAAATGAGATTATCCGGTCACTTTGGGCGCCTGCTACATTGAATCTGAGCGCCGAGCAGCTTCCAGAGCCCGGACACTTTATCTGAAGTAGCCCATGGCCGTCCCTTGTCAGGTCATTTAATGTGGGACCGGCTATCAGGAACAAATAAGGCCGCGCGAAGCCCTTGCCAAGCTCAATGGGTGCTGCTGATTCACTGCCAATGTTCAATAAGGCTGCTGTCCTTTCATGTTAAAGAGAGGCGCCGTGGCTTCCAATGTCAGGGACTGGATGTGCGTAATTACGCACCGGTACAAGTTATTATCATGCCTGTATTATTTTCATTCTGCTTCACCATCAGGGTTATACTGATTTAAATTGTATGTTTCTGTTACTACATATACAACCAACACAAATAAACGATTATATAGCTATATCGTATAAAGGTGTAAACATTGAAGGTTTAAAATTATTATTCATTCCATCTTAAAAAGTGTAATATTTTAAGCAGTAAACGCCACTGTGCAGGCAGATGTCAAATAACAATATATATACATAAATTGATTGTATATATTCGACTTGAAGGATCTGGATTAGAAGGGAAATAAATCGAGGCTGACATTTCTCCCCTTTGGTCTCTCCTTTATAACACATCTATGATAAATAGTCTTCAGGTCATAAAGCTGAGCGTTCCACCAGTTTCTGTGTGAACTTATTATCCCCGTGCATTCCAATGATAGACTGAGGTGATGACGCAGAGAGCAGGAGAACAGATGAGGCGCACTTTGTGTCTATAACCTGGAAAGTGGCGATGCGCAGAAATATCAATTCACCTCACACTGAAAAAGTTTTTTCCCCGTTTTCTCAGCAAAACGTATAAAAAGTGAAAATATTTGCAGGGACGAGCGTTGCACTGACAGATGATTGTCAAAACACCATTTGGTTGGAATTCTAAAATAATAGATGTTCGTAGTCTCTGTGAGTTTTTCACATGTTTGATTTGATTTTCCATGAAGTCGATTTCTCTTTAATCTTCATTAATTATAATAACAACGACTCAAAATCAGTCAGAAATGATGAAGATGTATTTTCTTAATACAACTTGTTATATACATAAAGCAAGCTGACGCCCGTGGTTATGGGAAATCTTGGTTATTGTGCCAAACCGTGGGCCTACCCCCATTAACATTCAATCAGTCAGTGTAGTGCCAGCCAATGAAAGGTGGAGAGGGATGGAGGAGGACGGAGCTGCTAGACGGAGCGTTTTGACGCGCTGAGAGGAGGACAGAGCGTCACATCTCTCCAAACGCCCATCAAACTTTCAGCACAGCCTGTAGAGAAGAGCCAGTCCTCTGACAGAGGCCTGTGAGAGACAACGAGGACACGCTGGATTCTGGGAGAGCGGCTGGACAGCAATGGAGACACTACTGGCGATGACTTTTGGTACAGTTTGACCCAGCTGTGCACCGAAAACACCCTGTTCAGGTTTCTATTTTTCATCCCATTCTATTTGCATCAGAGCTACGGGAATGGAGCAAGCACCTAGCGCGCCGAGCCCTCCTTCCAAACCGACCCATCACGAGCCCATCAGCTTCGGCATCGACCAGATCCTGGGAGCCGGTACGGAGCCAGAGAGCGGGCGCACGGCAGGAAGACAAAGTGGATCCGATTTAAGCAGCGGGGACGGTTATTACAGTTTAGGAAGCCCGACCGGGGCCAGCGCGCCCTCGTACACCGCGCTGTCTATCTCCCTCTCTGGTATAATGCCTCCAGTGGAGGCTCCGGGTTCATACGGGGAGAGCAGGAGTCTCGGAAGCCGGGGAGTGATTCGAGTCCCGGCGCACAGACCCATGACAGCCCCAGGACCCCCGACCCCTGTCCAGGGCGCTGTGCCTGGGTTCGGAGGGCTGTGCTTCCCCTGGATAGGAAACAGGTTCGCCAAGGACAGAATATCAGGTAGGACAGCTGATAGAGCTAATGGCTTCATTAATATTTCATCTGGTTTAAAACGTAAGAACTGCTGATGGGCCTTTTAAAACAACAAACACCTGTGCCAATATTTGTATTTGCTATTTACAGACAACTGAAATGTTTTCACTATTTAAAATGGTTGAAGCCGACGAATACACACAACATAGAAGTTAAAATAGTTTCATTATTTTATTATTATGTATTCACAGCTTATTATATTTAAATACCTTGTGATACTGACCTCACTCGTGTTGTAGGATATGAATGTTTAGTGTATTATGGATTAGCAAGTGCTGTGTATGCTTAAATAGTTGATTTTAATGCTTTGATTTTAAAGGATAAATCAGCAACATGGTCCTATGGTCTTATTTTATTGTTGCAGTGAAAATGAACAATAAATGTTAATTAAAGTCTAAATTGAGTCCCAGTAAGATTCAGTTAAACTAATACACTGTCACATATTTTACTTCAGAAATTCTACAGCCCTTATTAAAATCTAAAATAAATTAAGTAAAAAGAAAAAGAAAGTTAAATTAATCTTAAATATTCTCTGACACTGGCAGCCGTACATTCTGCTCTAGTGAAGATTAATAGGAGCCTTTATTGGCAAACACTACACACTACTCTATGTGAAGGATCAATAAACAGCCCAACAGGCCTGATGTTCTATTATCTGTTAAATCTCAACTTTCAGATGAGTATCTATTTATTTTATTTGTACATCTTGTTTCCAGTATTAATCTCTTACTCACACCATGTGGCCTTCCCAGTCTCAATAGGGAAATATTGTCAGACAGGTCAGATACTTGTGATATTCGATCTTAAATCTCCACACAGAGAAGAGTGAATTAATCTGCTTTGTTTTTGAGTAAAATCTCATTCTCCACTCACCGGTGCGTGTGTCTCCCTCTCTTTCCTGCAGCAGCCCTTGTGCCGTTCGCCGTTACGCGGCGGATAGGTCACCCGTACCAGAACCGGACGCCTCCCAAGCGGAAAAAGCCCCGCACGTCCTTCTCCAGAGTCCAGATCTGCGAGCTGGAGAAACGCTTCCACCGGCAGAAGTACCTGGCCAGCGCCGAGCGCGCGGCCCTGGCCAAGAGTCTGAAGATGACGGACGCACAGGTCAAAACCTGGTTTCAGAACCGCAGGACCAAGTGGAGGTTGGTATGAACCTTGAACGTCCTTGTTAAACTGTCAGTAGTTTCATTTTGACCACATTTCAACACACAAACTCCATTAACACGTGAAACACAGAGAGTTATTCCAGGGAGCATCGTGTCAGGTGTCCCGCCAAAAAAACCACAAAGTTTCCTCCTGGAGCAGGTGACCCCGTGCGTAATTTCCTGTTACGTGACCCCGGCGTGTCGGAAGAAAAAAAAAACAAATGGATGAACTCAAGCAGCAACTATTTTAAAATACAGAGAATACAGATTTAATATATTTTTGCTGGCATGTGTTCTTTTTATCGCCAGTAGCCTACGAATATATTTAAGGAAGAAGCTCTACATTAATTAGGCCAAAACAATCTCAAAAGATAGATTTCAAAAGGTAAATACAGGAAATCAAATACATCTATTTTACTGTAAATTTGTTTTGCTTGAAAAAATAATTTTCATCCCTACAAAATGAAATTATGTCAACATGATGTTGACATAATTTATTTTTAATTAAAATAACCAGACCAGCCAATGCTGCCAAGATGAATTTCTACACCTCTAACTCATGCTATTTTATCTTATACGACCCCACTTTTTATTTATAAATAATTTATCAATTATTAATTTATTAACGTGAAATTCTTCTTCTTCTTCTTCTATCAGGAGACAGACAGCCGAGGAGAGGGAGGCGGAGCGTCAGCAGGCCAATCGTCTCATCCTGCAGCTGCAGCAGTCCGCCCTCCAGAAGTCCCTCGGCGAATCAGCGGTGTCGGATCCACTGTGCGCGCACAACTCCTCCCTGTACGCGCTGCAGAACCTCCAGCCTTGGGCCGAGGAGCGGGAGTAGAGACCCAACTCTCTGCACTGCAATCAATAAGCATCTTATCTGTGATCCCTGGGAGGATTCATACATTCAATTAGACCTACATGAGGACAGTGGGATTTGTTTTGATCCATGCAATGGAGAGAAAAAAATAATAAATGTTGGAACAGGAAAAAAAAAAACTGAAGGGGTGCCACAGCCAGAAGTGGACCTGAAGTGATGGTGAGTGATGCCTGTTTTTAAACAGAAACTGAACTCGCTTGGACTCAATCTTGCAGCTGTGTACCTGGAGACATTGAGACTTTTCAAATTTAAAGAGGAGCTGAAACAGAACCTGTCATTAAAATTAAAATGTGATTGTTCTCTTATGCTCGTGCTTATTCTGTACAAGAGGGGGGAGGAAATTTAACCCATAGACATGGGGGAGTTAATGAATTTTCCAGTGACACACAACATGTTTAATTATTTTGTGAAGGTCTTTGCTCTCAAGACAAATATCTCCTTATTGTGAAACAGACATTTTTATAGGGTAAATTCAGTTTTTAGGGGGTGAAGCCAAATAAAAGCAAGGCTCATACTTTAGAGTAAACATGTTAGTGAGTTTAAAGTCAATCTCTTATTCTGTTTTAACCAAATAAATAAGTGTCTTCACAAAAATTTTGATAAAAGCTATTTTAAATTGTCCTGGTGCTTTAACTCTAATTAAAAATTGTCCCCTCTGAATCACCTGCACATTGCAGTGCACCATCTCAGCCCCCATGATACTGAAACGTTACATTATAGGAATAGATGTCAGGTTTAGTTGGGAGAGAAGCGGAGAGAAAATATGAAAGAGGCTGTAAGCTGGGTAATAAAGGAAGTGATGCATGTTCAGTGATGCTGGTTTTTTCATATGCACATTATCCAGCTTTATTTGTGGGCTGCATCCTTTGGGATGAGATGCAACTCTTTTTTTGTACTTTAATTGTATATGTGTAAATAACAAACTGTTATTGTGATCCATGCTCCATACGATGCACCATAGATGTGGTTTTAAGGTTTTCATACACAATAATGATGATAAAACAAAGGAAACGTCATGGAGCGACAAGGAAAAATACAGGAGACATGGATTCATTTTGTTTGTTGAAAAGTTTATTGATAAATATAATGATTTTATACAGTATTTCAATACACACATGACTTCATTCTGACAATATGTGCTGTCTGTGTGTCGGCATGCCTGTCTACCTGTTTGTCTTCCTGTCCGTCAGTATGTCTGGGTACATCTAAACTCAGCAAGGATTTTTTTATACACTGTTGGTAGCACAGTGAGTGGGCATGACAGTAAATCATTTTCATAAATGTGTGTGTGACCTGCTCGATGGTTTTTATTTGAAACATGGCTTCCATTCCTTCAGAATCAGTGAAAAGGTCTTTACTCTCATCCTCTGCCCTATTCCCTCACCTTTGTCTTCCTGCATCTCGCTCCCCCTCCTCTGTCGCTCCCTCACAGTGAAAGGTTGGTCGCTCTGGGTCGACATTTTCAACAGACAGATTCGACAGTGAAACTCTCCTCTGTGGCCTCCACGAGATGAAACTGTGCTTAGAATAATGACTTTTTAATGTTCAAGCTAAATAAAAAAAATAACTTTACAGGAGGACACCACACACATGCACATCCCTGTGTCACTCTAAATCTGTACATCAGTAAATCTCTATAGTGGACTCCTTATTTAACAATGAATGCCAAAAAATTCCAGGATTGTAACCGTTGCACCTGATTTGACAGAAAGATAAGACAGTTAGTCAGACTCAGAAACTCACAGACAGACACGGATGATCCCAGACAGCGAGAAGAAGAAGAAGAAGACACAAATACAACAGTTAAATATCTACAGTTGAGTCGTTACAACATTGAAACATTGACTGACACCACTGGAACACACACAGGGAGCAATGAGGACTTTTTTTTGGTGGGGGGGGCTGTTACAAGACGTAAGATGTGTCGCAAGCACGGCTGAGGTGACACTCAGCTGCAGAGCAAAGCCTCACAGGCCTGTGTCTGGAAACAGATGAGGTGGCTGTGTGGGATGCCACACCCAGACCTGGCCTCCCTAATGTCACCACTCAGCAAGAAGACGACTATGTTACCACCATGTTTTTGTGGCACATATACCAAGTGTCAAAAACGCTGCAGGCCTCTTGTCTTGCATGCTTCACAATATCGCTCACGCTTGTTGTGGTGATACAGAAATCCATGGTGAGAAACATTATTTTATGCCTTTGACTGATCTCACTGCTAAGCTGGAGTCCAGGTTGATGTTCTGGTTTATATTTCAGAAATGTGAAAGAATCAGTATTTACACGATGGCATGGGGGCACACGCAGTCCAACGTGACGGTAACTGTAAAGACAGCAACCAACAGGGAGACGAGATGAGTGGTCGCGTAAAGGTCAAATGAAGGGTTAAAGTCTGAGGGACATTTTCTGAAAACCAGAGACGCTTTTTGTCGCCATGGATTTCTTACAGCAGGACACCTCCCAAGAAGTTTTGTAGCAACCGTCTCACACACACACGCACACAACCCGAAGAAGCTCTTTGTTTCATTTCAATTGCAAGCTACGCTGTTCCCATTTCTCGTGCATGGGCATCTCTCCTTCTTCCTCTTTGTTTGTCTCTTCTCTCTGGCTCTGTGCTTTTCATATATCGCACCGTCGCCCTCTTCTTTGTCGTCTAGATGACGTTTTCAAAGAGTTGCAGAGACCTCATGATGTTTTCATCCTGTGCAAAAGAAGATGGGAAATGGAGAAGCAGACTGAGGAGGAAGTCGCCACGCAATCACCATTTAATTCAGTTTACTGGCCACTAGGGGGCAGTAAAAGCCCATAAAATAAAGAGTGTGTGAACATGAGCGTGATCTCTCTCTCTGAGGGCAAACACACTGAAATAAAAAGATTCATTTTTTGTGGCTGCAAACACCATAATTAATATGTAGTGTAGTCAATTGCAAAGGAGGAGAAAAAAACGCATTCTGTGAAAAGTAAGTAAAACAATTTGACTTTGACTAAGAAATCCATTATTAATTGTAGTATTTGCACATTTGAAGTTCCTACTATGATGAATCAAATGTCATCTTTGAAAAACTGTGTACCTCTTGACAAGAAAGAATGAATTCATCCAGAGTGACCACACCGTCCCTGTTTTTGTCCATTTTCTGTGGAGACAAACGCACATGCATGACGCCATTTGTGCAGAGTGTAAGCAAAGATATTAATGATATAAGCAGATGTGAAATTATTGTCAGTCTCACTTCTGTGATAGCTCTACTCTGCACTTTGCTAACATCATTAGACAGTTAGGGCACTGTGATGTATTTTCTGTTATGTTAAGTTGTTAAATAAAAATACTTTACTTTTATTTGCTGTTTGACCAAGGTGACCATCATCGTTTCCCTATTTACAAAAGCACATAGTGCCTGAAGCTGCTTTCAGTCATGCACTGAACTCCAGAAGGGGCTGTATGTGAGAACGTAAATATCCAAGTATGTCTGAGTGAGCCCATGTGAGAAAACAGTGTTATGTTGTCTGGAGAACTCAGTGAGTGAGTGGGCGTGTTGATGACACTTGTACTGTGAGGTGGACTCGGACAATCTCTGCAAAGTTAATGTCTAAAAATGGCTCTACTGATACATCTGTGTTGGTCGATCATCAGTGTTTGTGCTGTAAAAGACTCTTTACCTGAAAGAAGGCATCCACATGCTGTTTGGGTGCATCATGTTTCAAGACGGGGTAAGTGTACTTCCCCATCATGTCATATATTGCTCTGACGATGTCTGTCATCTCCTGCGGGACGTACACAAACACGGACATGATAAGACTTTACCAATAAAAACCCAAATACTGTGTGTATAAGTACAAATGTAAAAGCAAAAGTACACAAGCACGGACCTCTTTGTTAATGTATCCATCTCTGTTGATGTCGTAGAGGTTAAACGTCCACTGCAGCTTCTCTGTGACGGAGCCCCTCAGCAGGATGGACAGAGCTGTGACAAAGTCCTGATGGAGACACAAAGAGAGACAGAAGGACAACATGAAAATGGAGAAGGGGCTTGGACATAATAAGCTAGAGTATGACTTGAATGAGACATCTTCAAAACAGGAGAAAGGTGGAGATGAATGAATAAAATAAACCTCAAACTTGATGGAGCCGGTATTTGCTGAGTCAAACGCGTTGAACAGGTAATGTGCGTAGGTGCTGGCGTCTGCAAGAGGATAAGACAAAGTTTGAATTGACACAGAGACAAAAACAGGTAAAGACACAAATAAAGTGCAGGCTCTCACTCTACCTCCATGTGGGAAGAACTGGGAGTATATCTGCTTGAAGGTGTCTTCGTTTACTACACCACTCGGACACTCCTGGAAAGAGAAAGAGGGAGTGAGGAGGTATAAATTAGACAGAACCTCTCTCACTGGTGTCAGAGGTGGACAGAGGCGGATGGAGGGTTTGACAGAAGGGTGTGAATATAATTTGATAAAAGAGTAAACTAGGGACTGGATATTAAATTAGTAAAACATTAACTCTTCATTCAGACTGGTTTCCCCATTGACTACAACAAATCTGCTCTGTCTCAGCAGCACAACTGATTGCACTTTCAAGTTCTGACCTTCTATCAAGGGTGGCGCTATTACTCCAAGCTATGATACAGACTTACAATATAAATTTAACATTCATCACTTCTGAAAAGAATATTTATCTTTCGGAAAAAAGCTAAAATAAGTTAAAACAATGCAATAAAAATACAATATAATTATAAAAAACAACAAAGTGTGATCCTGCACTTAAAGCATGTGGCCTCCAAAGTGAAATCGGTGAACAAAAGCAGTATAAATATACTTTGGTCCATTTAAATTACAGTGAAAATCATTGTTTGGAGTATTCTTTGATCTTTAAACCTTATATCTTGGTTTGCTTGCTCAGAAGAGCCACTGGCAGGTTTGGTTTCTATCTAACTGGCATTTATCTATGAGGATAAATCTCTTGTCTTGTGAAACCGCCAGCCTCTTACATTCTTGAAGCCCCTGTAGAGAACTTGGAGCTCTCTTTTGCTGAAGTTGGTTTGAGCTTCTAGCTGATCCAGGCCCTCTGGTCGATGGCACACCATCGTCATCTCCAGGTCATCGTCAGCTTTATCTGAAGAAACAAGAAAGAAAAAAAGAAATCATTATTTTACAGGAATTTATACATGACCTCCAAAGGGTGAGAAAGCAGATGTTGAGAAGAAGAAAAAAACCTCAGTGAATTAATTTTCACACGTCAAGTTCGAACTACACTGATGTCTCTCTGAAAAGGCAGAACGATAGAAACTGTAACAAAAAAAAAGAGAAGGAACGGGTGAGAGATGGAGGTGTAGAGAGGTGGAGGTCAGTCTAACAGCTCCATTGTCCTCCACTCACCAGCCCCATCATTAACAACTCGTTACTCTCCTTGCTGGAGGGGAGGGGAGAGAGGACGAACCACTGACACACACACACACACATACATACACGTGCACGTGCACATACACACACACACACACATGCACACTCATTCATGCACTTATAGGTGAACATGAAAGTATAAAAGCAGGTTTCTCTTTTTCTGTCTCAATCATTGCATGAGCACATACATTTCCAAAAGCCATGCACGATTTAATTATGATTCATACTGATATGATATATTGTTCAAGTTAAGTACAAATAGAAAGCTGTTTATTTAGTCCAGTCTGGACTAATGTAAAAAAACTTGGCAGCCTTGGTAGAAAGGTAAAGAAAACAAGAATTTGTACGATTTAGATGAAACACACCAGTGAAAACATCACTAGGATTATTTAATATTCAATTTCTGCCAATAGATCCTTTTCACATAGATCTTACACACTGAATCCTTAATATCTTTGTTTTCCAGGTGGAATCTTTGGCTAGAACATGAAACCCTCAACTTAAAATCAACTTAAATTCTTTGATCGTCTTTGTTCAGGAGACTGCAATGACACTATGGTCAGAAACCCCCAAACAAGGCCCCTGTAGAGGTGTGACATCTCTGGGATGATGGTGTGAATCATTTGACGATTAAAATAATGTGGTTTGGTGTCACGACATGTCTTTCTTTGGTCTGTTTGGTTTGATGTGGGGCCCCCACAGTTACCTCTAGCCTGGGGCCCCAAAATCCTCTGAAACACTTGTGCTTGTACTGTGAATGTTTTGGAGGACAGAATGTTGGACACTGGTAGAAACATGTGCACACATTTAAATATTGTGGTGTCAACCACTGCCTGTGTTTACCTCTAGTAATTTGTAAGAGTTGACTTCCCATCCAAAGTGCTGCTGATCCTTCATCAGTTTTTATTGCACTGTCATCAGAGAATTTCAACAGTCCCAGATACAATGGTTGAGCTACTGTACTTTCAAAGTGCTGTTCTACTTTAATCAGGTGTCTCAGTGTGTAAGGTGCACTCTGTCCTTGGCAATCCACATTTTGAAACATCAACAGTCTGGAAATAGAAACAATTTCATCTGTGTGGAACACTATCAGTGCTTTGTAAAGCTTCATTACTCCACCAGCTCCTCACTTCTGTTCGATCAGTGAATCATGGCTCTCTACGTTTTTACTGTGCGAGACAAAGACATCTTCATCTCACCGCTGAATGAAAACCTCACCATTCTGGATTCAGTACACAGTGTGATGCATCTGCAGAGTTCTTCATGTAGAACTGCAGCCATCAGGGTTTAAGAGCCGAAAGTAGCTTTGAATTAAGGTGTAAATTATGATCTTCACATATGAGAGTCACTGTTATATGATGTGATTACATTTAAAAAAAAAATACAACTAATGTAAAAGTGCAACACTCAGCATACGTTAATTCATTGTATTGTACCAACTAATATTCTACATTATGGGAGTTAGGCAGTCTTTCTTTCTGTTGCTCCCTTCCCCCACTTCACCCTTTTTAAAACACACACACACACACACACACACACACACACACACACACACACACACACACACACACACACAGGCCATTAGTTTCATCACACAGGGAGTTCAGTCTTTGTCAGGGTTAAAGTTCAGACTCATGCACAAGGTGAGCCTATTCACACCCAGTTCCCAACAGTCGTACGACACACTGTATGCTACATAACCACACACAGGACACACACACATACACATACATCCTGATGTGATCAACTTGTATCTAATAATGTTATGCAGACACATGCAGTGATCATATAGAATTAAAGACCACAGCCTCCTTTGAAATGCTTTACTTGGACTATAATGTTTATGTGCACAGTCACCGCCACACTCCATGCTTATCCTGAAAACTAACACGGCACAGGACATCCCGTCACAAGCAATGCACAGTAATAACTCTTAGACTAAAAGTCAGCAGGTGTATGCTGTGCAGTTTATTATTAAGGCAGCATCACAGTTGTCATAAAGCATATAGCAAGGCTGCGTCAGGACCAAAAACACATTAAACTAAATATGTACAACAAGTATATGAGAGTCAGACTTGTTATTAACCTGTGAATTTTAATTACAAGAAAAGACTTAGCCTCTGTTTTTGTGTCTCAAAAGTCACCAATCTCATTTTCTTCTGGTAAAAGCCAACGTAAATGAAATGTTGACTCTGACAACCACGAGGAGAAATAATTAATGACCTAAATTAATTGAACTATGATCAGAATAAATACAAGCATGGTGAAATGAACTCTGGTCATGAGAAAAGAGGGGATATGTTTACTCTTACAGACAAAAGCATTTGAGTAAATATCTTTACATTTGTAAATTACAACCCGCAGAGCTTAAAAACACTGGTGATGTAAGTGTTGAGCCTTGTTGTCACTGATAACCTACTGAGCTCTTGTCAGGTTTTTCCCACAGTGTTTTAATTATATTGTGCAGCATCAGTATTTGCAGCAAGATAAATATACCAGTGTCAGAAAAAAATATTGGACACATGGGTATTGCAAGTTTACAATTGAAAAAGCAGCTGAGGAAAAGATATACAAGCCCTCCCCAGCAGGCAGTTACATAGAAATCATTACGAGATGAACTTGAGAGAGCAAATCTCCACCGACACTGAACAACCGAATAACCTGCAGCATCGAACACTAAAAACTTTATCAATTCTTGTTGATTTATGTTTTCATTTTTGATTTTCTGGAAAAAGTAGCAGGTCAATGCAGGTCAACATTCTCACATAAATAATCCAAATCGGTCAATAACTGACAGACAGTTAGTGCTGGATGACCGTGATAGCAGTTGTACCGACTCACCCTCCACTGTGATGACTCCCAGTAGGTGCAGCATTTTGACGGCCCCGCAGCACAGCAGAATGATGGCTATCGTATGTAAGCTGTTCTCACTCTGTTCCTCGTTTTCCATTTTCATTAATCCTCTCCTCCCTCTGGCCTGAGTTTATCACTTCAACCCACCTCTTATATCTTTGCTTACCTTTTCTTTTTAATTCTCAGACTTTTATCTTGTGGAAATACACAAGAGCAAACATGTTGTCGTTTTTCACCGTGTTCAACTAGACTCCTCACACGTCTATAAACTTTCTCTCCATCCTGCTTTCTCCTACAGCGACACCTGCACTCAGCCGTCTCTCTCTGTCTCTGTCTTTTTATCCCCCCTTCTCTCTTCTCCCTGGGGCATCTCCCTCTCTTATCCTGACCTTCGTTCCATCCCAGCAACTACCCGCTCCCCCCTCTCTCTCTTGCTGTCCCACCACCACCACCACCACCACCACCTCCCCCTCTGTGCTACAGTCATTGTGTCCTTCACTCTTTGGGAACAGGGACTTTCACTTGGGGGGTCCCACCTGTGCACGTTGTAACAGTGATAAACTCACATATACTGTATGAGCTCATGTGTTTGTTTTGGGACCGTGTGTGTGCATGTGCACGTGTGTCTGTGAGATCAGCACTTGATTAATTGATGTAATTAAGAGACAACGTCACCCCCCCACTACCACCACCAACAGAAGGCTTAATTTAACACAAAGTGACTTTTCTCACTGAATATGCCTGAGCCTTTTATATAAGTTATCAAATATGGTATCATTTAAACAAGGGAAATTGCAGGAATAAAGAAAGTCAAATAAAAATGACTGCAATACCTCTGGTGAGAAAACAGGCAAATTAATCTTCTTTATCCTAATTTGCAGTGTGAGCTTTATATTTAGTGTCTCATCGAGAGGAAACTGTGTAGCCTGCTACAATCCAAAAGTACCAGCAGGGGGCAGCAAAAGCTAACACGACCCCTCCGGTGTGTGCATCAAAGCCTGTGATGAAGATGTGTTGTACATTTCATTACGTACGTTACTTCAGATTTAGCTGCTGCGTTTATTCATATAGTGATAATGCTTCGACAGCCATAACAAAGTGTCTCTTTATCCGATAAAATCTGCTCTGCGCTTCACATATAAACGACCAATGGCAGTAAAACACTATAAAATAAATGTGGGCTATTTCCTGTATTATATCAGTGCACTGTGGCCAGCTCACACTCGTTTATTGTTCTAATGTGGATGTAAAAAGGATCTGCAGCAGCCGGATCGGCAGATGTGGAGCTGCTGACTGGCAGCCTGCAGGGGATCTGCTGCATCCAGAGGTATCCCCCCTGAGTTGTCTCCTGCAGGTTTGCTTTATTTACTGTTCCGGAATTAAAGCAGCAGTTTAGTGTAAAATTTAATTTAGTACCAAGAGTAGAATCTAATTTAATTTGGGAGGCATTTTGAAAATGCTCAGTAGTGTAAACATCACTTGTTAAGGATGATTAGGAGCATATTGTGTTCGCTTGAGTCATGAACCTTGAGACGTCTCCTGCTGAGATCAATTACCAGCAGTTCCATCACGATAGAACGCTGCAGTGCGTACAACGCTTCGGTATGATTTGATATTATTGTGAAATATTAAAGGTTCACTCTGTAAGATTTAGGTGAAAGGGATCTATTGGCAGAAATTTAATATGAAGTAATCATGGTGATGATTCACTAGTGTGTTTCATCTAAATAGTCAAAATGTTTGTTTTACCCTAGAATGAGCATTTTATATTTTAAACATTTTATATTTACATCGGGAGCAGGTCCTCTCTATGGAGGCTGCCATGTTTTTTGCAGTAGTCCAGACTGGACAAACTAAACA